GTCGACGTGGTAACTTTTCATAAAATCTCTACCGCGAATGCTTGTATTTTACTGATGCTTCAAATAGTTTCGTTAAAAAATATTTTTACTTCAAGTTTTCTTTTGTTTGTTTGTTGTTTAACGCCGCACTCAGCAATAATTCAGCTATATGACGGCGGTCAGACAATCCAATGACTGACATCACGAGTATCGCTCAACGCATCAAATGCATCTACCAAGTTAGCTAGCCTGACTACCCGATCCCGTTAATACACAAACATCATGAATTATGAATGAGTGCGTGATTTGCGTTTAACGCCGCGTTAAACTGTATACCAGTTATATCACGGCGTATCAGCTTGATGTGGGAGGAAATCCCAAAGTGTTGCAGTTCTAAGACGGTTACCACTTTGATATTTGTTTGTTTGTTTATTGTTTAACGCCGCACTCAGCAATATTCCAGCTATATGACGGCGGTCTGTATATTATCGAGTAAAAATCCCTTTTTTATCATGTTATTTCAGAGTGAAAAGAAAACTCATGGTTTGAAAATACATTCTTTATAGAAGTTAACACAATGCCAATATCACAAATAAATGAAGAATTGTTGATTCTTAAAGTACAGAAACATCCATGTGAACAATTAAATTACCTAAAATCAAATTCCTTTGCACATTTAAGATCTGCAAAATAACGTCTGTTCAAGGGGAATCTTTTCTTCTATATTTTTTGAACACCTTTCGTCTCGATTTTGATAATCGACAAATATACTGCATTGAAGCGCTGCCCAAATATGAGTTAAAATAAACGCACCGGCGCACTGCACTGCACTGCACAGCGCTGTCGCAACACTGGTTTAGTGTGGAGCGCCCTGAGGCACCCTGATGCTCGGCATGAACTGGTCGGCTAGGAGCCAGTATACCGTGTCTGAGTGGGGTATTCATGTTAAACTGCGGTCTGGTATCTCAGTGGGCTAGCACTAAGAAAGTGCAATAATCTTGAACGCGACGTTAAACACCATTTCATCTCACCTCACCACGAAATGAAGTGAATGACAAAGAAGCTTTGGATTTTATAGCCGCTTCGAACAGAATGTTGATCGGTCAATATATTATCGCAACAACTTAATCTGGAAGACACCTCAACACGGCAAACCGGTCGACACGTTTGTGTCTTTGGTTTTGTTTGTTTGAAGTTGAACGCCGCTCTCAGCAAAATTCCAGCTATATGACGGCGGTCTTTAAATAACAGAGTCTGGACCAAACAATTCAGTGATTGGCATCAGCCAAGGCAACGAGCCTGACCACCAATCTCTTACGACAAGCATGGGCCGGGTGTCTACCCAACGGATCTTCATGGGTGTAGTCCTTTGTCCATTTCTTGTTTAGATCCATGTGACATTCAATCTGTCAGAATATCTCTCATGTACGTATTCCGGGTTAGAATTGGTCGCCAACAATCCATACGAGACCACTTGAAGACCCGTGAAGATCCGGGGTAGAATAGGTCTTCAGCAACCCATGCTTGCCGAAGAAAGCGACAATGCTTGTCGTAAGAGGCGAATAACGGGAGCAGGTGGTCAGGCACGCTGACTTGGTTGAGCATATCGTATCCCAATTACGTGGATCGATGCTGAGGATGTCAATCACTGGATTGTATGGTCGAGGCTCGATTATTTAAACAGACCGCCGTCATACAGCTGGAATATTGCTGAGTGCGGCGTTAACAACAAACAAACATACAAACAAACGAGGCCACTTAATGGAGGGGGTGGCCCGGCTGGGTGACTTGGCTGATTGTGTGTCATCGTACCCTAACGGTGTGGTATACCGCGCATACTATCAGTGAATGGTTTGTGTAGCCCTGATGTGATTATTTACTGGCCGTCGTCATATAGCTGGTATATGTTTGTGCGGCGTTGAACAAGAAAACTTGAACATCTGCATTATACATAATCATTTTAAAAAAGGACAAAATAACTCGTTTCTCAATATGGCCTATTAAATCCGGCATTTGGAACAATACCAGAACTTAAATGAGGTATAAACCAATCTCATTAAAATCAGATCTTAGTTCTCGCTACCGCTAAGCTAAGATCTGATTTTAATGAGATTGGGTATAAACTACCATTTGTTTTTAAAGATTGTGCGACATAAACGTGATACACAATATAACACTGTATCTCTCTCTGAAGTGCTGTAAAATCACATCCGCTGGAAATAAAGGGGAGACTACTATTCTAATCGTATATGGACAGCATTTGGAATCGCAAATGTTCGTGTACTCCGAATGGTTGTCCTCTGGTTAACATTAGATTTTTTAAAGAAATAGATTTGAAACGATGGGTTTGTTTATTGAGAATATATACTACTCAAAAGAAGTTAAAGAACACCCGATTTCTTCATTTGATCATAGGTAATCTGCCATTGCCGGTGGGTATTGAAACACACAACCTTCCAAATGTTAGTGAACTTGTTTTGAGTAGCGTATAAGGAAAAACATCACCAGTTTCATCGCAATTTGTAATATACAATATGTTTGATTACGTTTAATAATATAGACACTTTTCAGTAGTTTTTACACGAATTATCTGTGTCCGTGTTATATTATTAGAGATACGATCGTCTTTGGTGTTGTTGACAACGTATACTTTGCAAAAGAACATTCACCCACTCCATCATTGTTGACCGCCGTCATAGAGCTGTAATGTTCAAGGTTATGCTTGTCGAGTGATCGACACGTGAAGATCCGGGTTAGAATAGGTCCTCAGCAACCCATGCTTGCTGTAAAAAGCGACTATGCTTGTTGTATGAGGCGACTAACGGCATCGGGTGGTCAGACTCGCTGATTGGGTTGAAGCATGTCATCGTATCACAATTACGTGGATCGATGCTCATGATATCAGTCACAAGATTATCTGGTCCAGACGACAGTCAACAGACAACAGTCATAAAGCTTGAATATTGCTAAACGCGGCGTTAAACACCAAACAACAACTTGTCGAGTGATGAGGCTTCGGGTCTTGGTTAATTAAGTGTCGTCGAATCTTGACAACTGAACATCGTATCATGTAGCTTTAAAACACACCATTGACATACGGGATCGGGTTGTCAGGCTCGCTGACTTGGTTGATGCATGTCATATTATCCAAATTGAGTATATCGATGTTCATTATGTCAATCACTGGAATTTCTGTACACGATGTATTAATTATTTACAGACCGCCGTCATATAATATTGTTGAGTGCGGCCTTAAACAAAAAACAAATAATCATCAGTTCGAAAACATGTTCACCAAGTATCCACAACTGAAGTCATCCTGTTATATTTAGCTTCGAGTGCGGCGCTACACAATAAATGAGAACCAATAACTAGAGGAGTGATTCTTGAACGAGAGATTTGCCTTTGTGGGGATGGCGTTGGTGAATGAAAACTCTCACAGTCATTTCCTTCTTCTCGCTACTGTTTAACAAATATCTGAGGACATCCCATTGTAGGTCACGTCAGAACGACCTTTGGCGACCCTTGACCGACCAATGAAATGACTAACATGAAGTTGCATCAGCCAATCATAAAGCAGCTTTCCCGAGCTTTGCAGTTTTCAAAATGGAGACTTCTATTCCAGCCAACGCTTTTAAAATATCGGATTCAAAATTAGAAAACTGTACAAAATTCTGAAATGTCTAATTAATGGCCGGGATCGTATGGCAGCACCTCTCAGTGGCTATGGAAAGTCTCTTTCGTTTCAAATATTGTCCCATAGAAGCGAGAGATAGACGATGATTTTTCCCCAATCAGTCGTACAGTCGTACAACTGTTGTTCGGAATACCCCGTGTTAACATGTAACGTTTTCGAGGTTGCGTGATAAGAACGCACATAAGGACTGTCACTTTCCCGATCTTGTAAGCGACGCTCTGATTGGTCGGATGAAAGGTTATTCTGATGTGACCTGTAATATGGATGTCCTCGGAAATAAGATCTGATTTTGATGAGATGGATGAAAACTAGACGTCGCATAAGCAACTTTACACTGGGCCCTGCAGGCTGATTCCATCGTGGTCAGTGGACATGATTTAAAGCGGTCCTTGTTCTCTGAAATTGGGGGAAATGAACCCAAACAGAACTCAGTTGTATAAAATAAAGCTGACATTTATTTTAATATAAATGCACGCGAACACTCGACGGTGATCCCTTCCAAGGTCAAACATGAATTTTGTTCTCACATGGTGAAGGATAGATACATTATGCTTTATGTCATGATAGAGTCAGATCTGGGAACGTTGAAACACTCACAACGTGACCGTATTTGGATATGCTGACACAAAGATTCACGAAGTTATCAACATTGATGTGGGGCTCGTTAGGGACCGATAATTTGAATATGTGATATGTGCGTGCGTGTTTCATTAACATTTTTGTACCATTTATGTACCGGGAATCAAATACCTAAGAAACTACACCCCATCCCATCCCTAAAAGAAGATATATATTTATGTGATAAACAACAATAAATACCAACAAAAACAAAACAACCCCCCCCCCCCCCCCCCCTCGAAATAAATCAACAAAATATGAAATGGTCGTTCCCTTCATCAAACCTGACCGGTATATCGACAATACATGATTAAGTTTAGAACATTCAGATATATTTTTCCAGTGAACAACCTACAAAAAATGGTTATGAACAATTTACGTTCGGTCTATGAGCTAAGATCATCGATTATCCGGGGTACTATCTGGCTGTATTATAACGAGTGAGTGTGAGTGAGTTGAGTTTAACGCCGCTTTAAACAGTATTACAGTTATATCGCTGCGTGTCAGCTTAATGTGGGAGGAAAGCCCGAAGTGATGCAGGTCTTAGACGTTTACCACTTCGGTGAAACCCATGATCACGGGTATGGTGCTGACAAACCTGGAAACATAATCGGGGCGACCCGGGATTCGAACCCATAATCATAGGTTTCTGGCGTGCCCAAGGGCTGCAACTCTGCACAGCGAATCGCGACGCCTTAGACGACTGGGCCACCCGTGCCCCCTATCATAACGATAAATGAACGACCCGTGGTATAGGGGATAGAGCGTCTCCCGGACAGCGGATGGTCGGTGGTTCGATCCCCGGCCGCGCTACACCAATCAACGTTAAGAGATGACACTTGTTGTTGCCCTGCCTGACGCTCGACATTAATGAGATAAAACAAGGATTGTTCGGCTCGGAGTCAGTAAGTTGATACTGACTATGCGGTTGCTTTTTCATGTGTGCGCGTACAAGGAAATAAGTTTTAAAGAACCAAAAAGGTACATTGTGTCGGAGTGGTATCCATGTCCTGCCATGTCCGGCATGGTATCGCAGTGGGCTAGCAGTATAACACCGACATTAGTCCGGACTAGGACAAGCAGCCTCACACACACGTGCTCTTTGAGTGCAATAATGTTGAACGCGCCTTAAACCCCATTTTACCTTACCTAAGATGATAAATACCCTTCGCTACCACACCTTCGCATGACGCTAAAAATAACTGTCCAATCATATGCAAGAGAAATACTGTTGGGTGTACTGATGAGGATGACAGAGAAGTGACGTCACTTCCATAACGAAGCTACGGTAGCGTATGGTTGAATGTTGCTCACATTGTTGTCGGCAAGATTCGAGCCGTATCACCACGTCTTGGGCCTGACGAACCAGTGGTTGATGTGATGAACATCGTTCGATGTCGTCGGGGTACGATGATACTGACGAGCGAACGCTTTAACCACTAGGCTACCCCACCGCCCCTGATAGTAAATGGGTCTGGTTATTTATTGCATCAGACTAGACATATAATACACTGGATAATCGAGGATGATGAGTGAGTGAGTGAGTGGGTAGAGTGTTACGCCGCTTTTAGCAATATTCCAGCAATACCACAGCGAGGGACACGACAAATGGGCTTCACACATTGTACCCAAGTGGGTTTTCAAACCCGGGTCTTCAGCGCGAGCCACAAGCCTTACCCACCTCCCCTCGAGGATGATGACCTAGAACCGACAATTATATGTATCTCTAAGCACACATAAATCAAACTCCGTTTAATCAACTAGGTTTCCAAGACGTCTAGTCCGTATAAGTGTCTCATTTCCTCCTGTGCCGTCTTCAAACAATCCTTCTGAAACACGTCTTGAATATGTTTTATAAACACTTGTGCGTGTTATAGGTCTATTGAAGTTTGAATTGTAAGGCTTAAACGTTTCTTATATATATGACTGTGAGAAATATCCAACGTAATCCGTTTTTCAGTCGACTGTGCAAGCATACCATTCATACGACGCCACCTGCGATTTTACCATGTTGCGGATGGACCAACCTTCTGTTTGACACGTCCCAACCGCTCCAACCACTTCATGTTGGGCAGTGGCTGTACCCGTTTAGACAACATCGAACTTCTTATATGGACACCCTGACTGGACAATGTCTTATGTAAATAACAGCGACCCAACCATCCACTGGGCACCACCACAACACTCGAGTCTATCAACTCAAGACGCACGATGGGCACATCGTATTGACTGACGTCACATCTCACAGATCAGTTCATATAATGTTCAAAGTACGTTCACTCACATTTCTAATGTAATGACCCTTGAATTGCCAATGGCAAATTGTAAACGTTTCTAAGGCATATACGAATGTCCACTTTAGCATCACTTTAGACTTGACATACGTTTTCAACAACGGAACTTGTTGATCAGAAAGCTGTTTTCGGGACACATTCTCTTACGATGACTATCTAACGTAACGGTCTCTTTTGGATGTTCCGTATCCTAAGGTAGAAGCATCGTCGTCTCCCGGGCATTTCAAACAATACTGTCATTATCCATCATGGGTTCACACTGCGCATGATTGTCGCCGTTTTGCAGCGTACTTCCGGTTTTATTGGCGTTACAATCAGCAGATTTCTGTAAAGGCACTTTTTCCTCGGATATCGGGGTTAGATGTCCATTTTGTTCCCCTACTGTGGTGGCATCCGCCGTGGAATCAGCTGCTGACTTCATCATGGATGAATCGTGGTACCTGGTGCTCCTGTGGTGCATTGATGCCGCCGACCGGCCGGCGATACTACTCGCACGGCGGAGGACCTGTCGCTGCCATTTCTTCTTGATTTCAGTTTGAACCTTAAATAAGACAAAACTATGTACAATATACAACTTGTATAATCATATTTGTTCATTGAAAAAAATATTGAAATCATTTTCTCAAACAAAAAGGAAAAACACATTTTGATTCATAGAGACGAGGTTCGAGATTCAGTAAACTCCAGATGTACAGAAATCTTAACCGAAGTAAAGATTATCAAGAGATATTTTTTTTTGGATATGACCAGCTGATTTATTCGACTGTAAACTTGGTGTGAGCATGGTAAAGGTGACATGGCAAAATCTTAAACACATTCGACAACAATGACACGTGAGAAAAGTTATTACTTGTGCTCAGATTTTACCTTAAACAATAAATTGTTCACCGGAAGTCCAGAAAATATGTTTGTTCGACTCAATCATTTCACAGAGAAACATGTTGTAATAAAATCTGTAAGTGAACAAATATTCTTTCTATAACATAAATCCCAGACCCTCTCAGATCCTTCATTGGTGGATCCCGTTTAATACATGGTAATATACTCACCTCAGTATTCAGAAAACAAAATAGCATGGCCACGAAAAAACCCTGCAATAGAAATACAAACAAGGGTTATATCAAAGTTGAAATATTAAGCCTATCAAATTATCGCTGTGTTGAAATATGAATAACAAACAGATTGCCGAATAAATATTGTCGTTAAGGATTTCGTAAAATTAAGTTGGAAAACCGATTCAATATTTTGCGACATCGAAATACTCTCACAGAGAGGGTAACTCCAAAGACTCCGGGTCGGAACTTTTACATGTACAGATAACACTGTAACATTGTCTGAAACCTGACTGCTGGGCCAAAGAAACAATTTTTTAAATGTGAAGTTTCCACGATATACGGCAGTTCGACCGGACGTGAGGGGGGTCACATGACCAAGAAACTGACGTTCATAACTGTATGAACGACACATTTTGACGTTCATAGGTTTTTCACGAGACTGTATTCTTGAAATTACGTAACCACTGGCGGACTACTTCCACAGCGTTACATACGTTACAAAATACATACAAAGCGTTGTTTCTGATCATTTACAACTTTTAATCCTGAACTCAGCGTATCAGCATATACATTGAGAATATCAGATTATTCACGAATATCAACGCTTCAACCCATCCTAGTGAACAAAACGAAGAAATGCTTTGGGTGTAACCCGCGCCCCTAAAACTGAAGGATAATATCTTACGATGTTAAAATTATATCAATGACGTTAAATCAAGGTTAAAATTGACACGCCCCCACTAGCCACACTCGTGGCATACCTGGAATCCATATCAGTATCATAACAACTAATGTAACCATCGTGTATATTCTGTACCCGGATGGTGGTAATACCCAATCAGCTTGCAGCCTTAGCCGGCCGTGCTAATTAAGCCACGCCTTCTGGTAAGCGCTGTTAAGATTCGTTTGGGTTGTGACCTCAACATACGTACTTTTAATTACGCGCAACAGCGCTGACTTTACGTTTTCACACTTTTGTTCTCTGCCAACTTATTGTACACCCTACTAGCTACATAATGATGTAGGAAAAAATATGACTATCTTTTCATGATACTTTAAGATCTGTCGACTAACCAGACGTCCGAGCAAGATACATTGTACCCACTTGGAACGAGTCTTCATGACCTGTCGACTGACAAAACGTCGAGCTTGATACATTGCACCACTTGGAACGAGTCTTCACGACCTGTCGACTACCAAAACGTCGCGCTAGATACATTGCAGACACTTGGAACGAGCCTTCGCGACCTGTCGACTACAAAAACGTCGCGCTAGATACATTGTGCCCATATGGAACGAGCCTTCGCGACCTGTCGACTACAAAAACGTCGCGCTAGATACATTGTGCCCACTTGGAACGAGTCTTCGCGACCTGTCGACTACAAAAACGTCGCGCTAGATACATTGTGCCCACTTGGAACGAGTCTTCACGACCTGTCGACTACCAAAACGTCGAGCTAGATACATTGCACTACTTGGAAGGAGTCTTCACGACCTTTCGACTACCAAAACGTCGAGCTAGATACATTGCACCCACTTGGAAGGAGTCTTCGCGACCCGTCGACTTACAAAAAGTCGAGGTACATATAGTGCACCCACCTGGAAGGAGTTAAAACCGATCTCAATGTACAGCTTGATGATTATGCCGGTTGTGCCAAGATCCTCGGGGAGCCAGATGAATCCCATGTAGTACACGGCAAACAGGGGGATCAAGATGACTATGGACTTGGCCAGGCGTCTGGAACAGACCATATCTACAGTATTTATGTTGGTAGGTTGGTTGGTTTGTTGTTTAACGCCGCACTAGGCATTATTCCAGCTCTGTGACGGCGCTCTGTAAATAATCGAGTCTGGACCAGACAATCCATTGATTGACACCATGAGCATCGATCCACGCAATTGGGATTCGATGACATGCATCAACCAAGTCAGCGATCCTGAACCACCCGATCCCGTAAGTCGTCTCTTACGACAAGCATAGTCGCCTTTTACGGCAAGCATTGGTTGCTGAAGACCTATTCTACCCCACATCTTAACGGGTCAGTATTTACTTGTGGGATAACAGACGTCAAAGGGTTTATATGAGATTAAAAACCCGAATCCTATGGATAAAACCGAAGGGCGTCAGCCAACTGTCAGTGTTAACTTATAAACCCCCCAAAAGAAACTTAAAACAACATTTATCAACTTTTTTTATGCTTCAAACATACTTTCCATGAACCTTAGGAAACAGGCGTAAAATATCTGTTGCTGGCGCGCGGGGAAAAAGAAATTCTGAAAAGCATTGGGATTTTTACACTCTAAATTCTGAATGGACATGTTATCTTTTCAGACACGGATATGAGGCTGTCAAGATCACTTGAACTGATATATGATGAATTGGCTATGGTTAAATCGAGTAGAGAAAATTTTGCCATGAATTTGGAAATTCCTCGATTCTGATTGGTCAACCAGAGGTTGTCAAGTCACAATAAACCCCCTCTATTTGAAACAGTCGATTTGATGGCCGTATTAGCGGAAGCTAATATTCATAGAGGAGTGCTATTGTCAGTCATTGTCGGTTGGCATATTCAAATAATTACAAAATGCAAATGCGGTCACTACAATATTCAAAGAATGTGTGGTAATACAGTTCATGCAGAAAACACGATAGAAATGTACAAAGCGAATGTATTTTAAGTTGCGCTGCGCGTTCGGTTCCAAATTCAATTTAGCGCGGTTAAATTTAAGGTAACCTAGCCCTACATTGAAAACACAGGGCGGTTATCTCCTACATAACACTCCCAGAGCCTTGAAGACTCCGTTCAAACGTTCTGTTGTTTCCTTGACATTTGAAGTTGTAGATGACTAACAAATGTATTACCACACATTTTCTGTAACTGTTTGTATATTTACCTGTATCGAAATGTTCGAGACTCGTGGCAGTTTGACGCGGAGAGTTTTGTAAACAATAACCGGACGATGTTGATAAAAAATATAAAGTTAATCTGAAATAAATAAAACCACGTTAAAAGTTTCATCACATGACACAAAAATAGTTTGAAATATTCACATATCCATTTATACACCTCTTTATAGACGAACCTATTGTCCCCAAAATACATTATGTATAACGTTGAACAAAATTTTATGCTGAACACAAAGAGTTAGGGATCATGAATACTTTTAGGGATATTTTTTTATGATTGGTTGGTTGGTTTTTTGTTTAATGCCGAACTCAGCAATATTCCAGCTATATGCCGGCGGTCTGTAAATAATCGAGTCTGGACCAGACAATCCGGTGATTGATATCATGATCATCGATCCAGGAAATTGGGATCGATGACAAGCATCAACCAAGTTAGCGAGCCTGACCACCCGATCCCGTTAGTCGCCTTTTACGACAAGCATAGTCACCTTTTACGGCAAGCAAGGGTTGCTGAAGACCTATTCTACCCCGGAATCTTCACGGGTGTATTTTTTATGACATTGTGTGCTCAGTGCAAAAAAATCATAAAAATATCCATGACCCCTAACTTTGTGTGTTCTGTATATAAAGGAACTCCACAGCTAGTGTCTCATTATTTAATAGAGCTTAAGGGGGGTGAGAATGGGATGCTGGAGCTGAAAGATGAGATTGACTAGGAGGACATTAAGTCTCTAAAATCAACAACTTGAATATTTGAATATTTTATCCATTAGCGCATTGAGGTCAATGTACACATTCAGCGCTGAGTCTTTGTGATTTAAGTGAGTGAATACTGTTTTACGCCATCTTAATATCCCAGCCACAGATGGGAAACAGAAATACGCCTCAGACATTGCACGTATTTAATAGGGGGAGTCAAATCCGGCTTGACGAACGTTTAAACCAAAGGCTCGCTGTCAATTGTGATTTGAAAACCTGATGCATGTGAAGAAGCCTGTTTTTGTAAATAAAATCCAACAACTGACTTACAACAACTGACACTGCCATTGGCCCCTTAATGATCCAGTACAGTTTGGGGTGTGTCTGGTGTACGTTCCAGCACCTGGAACAGAAGCAACCACAATAACAATCATCATGTGTATAATACATGTATTATATTATTCGAGTGACGTCACTAGCTCCATCTCTCTTATATTGAATTTCTCACAGAATATATCTCGCACATGAGTGTTTATGTGTTTGTTGTTAAAGGCCACACTCAGCGATATTCCAGGCAGTCCAGGCAGTCCAGTGATTGACATCAAGAGTATCGATCTACACAATTAGAATACGATGACATGTATCAACCAAGTCAGTGAGCCTGAACACCCGATCCCGTTAGTCGCCCGTTAAGCATGGTGAGGTGAGGTGAAATTGGGTTTAACGTCGCGTCCAAGATTATTGCACTTATATAGCGACGTGTATGCACGTGTATGTGTGTTTGTGGCTGCTTGTACAAGTCCGGACTGATGCCGATTTATAGATACCATGCCGCAGTTTAACATGAATACCCCACTCAGACACAGTATACTGACTCCGAGCCGACCAGTCCTTGTTTTAGCCCCTTAATGCCGAGCGCCAGACAGGGTAACAACAAGTACAATCTTTTAACGTCTTTTTGTATGACGCGGCCCGGGATCGAACCCTGGACCTTCCGCTCTCCGGGCGGACGCTCTACCACAAGACCACGGAGGCGGTCCCGTTAAGCATGAAAACTTCAATAGGGCAACTAGACTACATCTGGCTCTTTTCAGAAGAATTCTTCCAATAAACCCTATGGTAGTCCCATAATCTCACAGTAACCGCTTTTCACCTCAATATCTAATTGTCAACTTTCTCCACACGCCTTACGAAGAGACCACTTACTTGAAATACATCATTATGGCGACGGCGAGAATCAGGAACGTCAAGTAGACGGAGGAGCCAATCATGTGATTGACATGTTGTACTTGAAGAACATTGATTGTGTTTCACTTTTCCTACCAATGAGGCCACGACTTCAACTTAGACTTAAACTTCTGTTTCTTGAACGTTTGTGTGTTTGTTTATCAACACACTTAGCAACATGACGAAGACGGTCTGTAAAAAACATGTCTGGACAAGACAATTCAGCGACTGACACCATGAGCATGGATCTACGCAACTAGGACACGATGACATGCATCAACCAAGTCAGCGAGCCTAACCACTCGATCCCGTTATAATCATCAATCGTCAGACACTCTTGTTCATAAAAAGTGTACCGTTAAGATGTATGAATGAAACACACCAAAATGAAAACATATACACAAATCTAAAATAAAATACTTACATCGTATTGTCGAGATATAATCGGACCATCGCCCAAGGAATGACGAATAATATCGGCATGCCTGAAATATAACATAAATAATAACATAAATTATCTAAATTTCATATCATTAACAGATTACGTATATTTCCCAGGAGGGAATACGTATTTGATTTGAAAGTAAACAAACACACCGCATAATTGTTACGACAGCTGCGTGACGTCCAATAATCAGGATAAGTGACGTTTTTTTGTGAGATGCAGCCAGGGACATTAAAGGGATCAATATAGGAAAAATACATTGCTATTTTGTTCGAAATCAGGATTTTCTAAAACTCTTCTAACATTGTATTTTAACATTACATTAAATAATAAGAAAATATTTGCCATAAGTAAAATACAAATCGACCCGACCAAGCCACCATGTTAGATATAACTATATTAACATGATTGAGTTTCAACAAATGTCAGCCAAACAAAATTGGGAATTATTGCTGACATTTGCTACAGATTAAGGGCTGAAGTCATCAAACATCACTCCAACATGTAAACACAAATCACCGACATCAAACCATCATATTCTGGAACGGAGATAATAAAAACACGGTAATAAAGTTTATAGTAAGTGAGTGGTTTAACGGCGCTTTGAACAGTATTCCAGTTACATCACGGTGTGTCAGCTTAATGTGGGAGGAAAGCCCGAAGTGAAGCAGGTCTCAGACGTTTACCATTTTGGTGAAATCACGTACACGGGTATGGTGCTGATCAACCTGGAAACCTATTTTGGGGAGACCCGGGATTCGAACCCTTGGTCATTGGATGTGGCGTACCCAAGGGACACAAGTCTGCACAGTTAATTGAGGCGCCCTAGATGACTGGGCCACCCGTGCCCCCTGTTAAGTTTATAATGGCCAAATGAAAACAAATACTAACCCCAGCCAAGCAACACGAACCATCGCAATTTTGTTTTTTCTGCGAACACGGATATTGAAAGAATCAGCTGAAGATATAGACCTTCGTTGAAAATCCAGAACAGGTTCGTCATGATAGCGTAGTTAAACAGAGTGAAGAACAGACGGCACTCCCAGTGCTGCAAACCAAACAAGGCGTGATTATGATAACCAACAGATCTTGTACTTGTTAGGCACTTAATATAAGAACCATTTCGTTTTAAAGAAACCGGGACATGCGTTAAGGGTGGGGCAAGGGGGATGAGGGGTTTGGGTTGGGGAGGCAGTTGAAATGTTCGAAGTCGAAAAGAAAAATTAAGTTAAGTTTTGTGACATCTCCGCTCTACTTACTTAACTGTGAATGTGTTGACATCCTCAAAGATATTTTCAAGACGAAAAACATCATGAATAATGAGTGAGTGAGTGATTTGGGTTTCATACCGCCTTGACCGTTATTCCTGTTATACCACGGCGTGTCAACGTAATGTGGGAGGAATGCCAGTAGTGACGCAAGTCTCAGACCACATCCGGTGAAACCAACGAACACGGGTATGGTGCTCACAAACCTAAACTAGTGTCCAAAAGAAACGATACCACCTGTTTGCAACGACATAAAAGAAAAACTAAACAATGCAGAAGTTTAGGATTGGTGTTATGCTTTTGAGAAATCCTTTCACAACATCTGTACAAAAATTTCATTTCAATAAAATCTGTACAACCATTATGACAAGCCTTTAAAGATGGGTGGGGTCGAAAAATGAACATTTCGTTAGAGCACTGATCACAGAAACAACAGGAAATGTCACACCACACGTCTCAAAGTCAAGTCAGTAGCGGGTATGTCCACCGTGAGCATCAATACATGCCAGAACACGCCTACGGACTGATGACGTCAAACGTCTGATGACGTTGGGAGTGATGCGTTGCCATTCCTCGAGGAGACATCGTTCCAAGTCCTGGACGTTGACTGGAGGCACACGGCGACGTCGGATTTGCCGATCGAGGTGGTCCCATAAGTGCTCGATGGGATTCATGTCCGGTGAACATGCGGGCCATGGCAAAACCTGTACGTTGGCGTTGGCAAGGAAGTTCTGTGTCAATCTTGCTGTGTGTGGCCTTGCATTGTCATGTTGGAAAAGGAGTCCACGAGGCTGTTGCTGAATAAAGGGCACCACAACAGGCCGTAGGATGTCATCAAGATAACGCTGTGCATTCAGGTTTCCACGAATTACGACAAGCATCGTTTTGACGTCACCACATATGCCACCCCAAACCATTAACCCTCCACCTCCAAACGGCCGGACCTGTTGGATACAGTTAGGCGCCAAACGTTCACCAAATCGTCGGTATACAAGCTGCCGTCCATCGTTTCTGAAGATGAGGAATCTGCTCTCATCAGAGAACATAACACGTGCCCAGTCCCGCCGTTGCCAACGTCGAACTCGCCTGGCCCAGATCAGTCTGTTGTTCCGGTGTCGAGGCGTCAGGAGCGGTCCGCGGTAGGGATGACGTGGCCGGATACCATACTGCCGTAGTCTCCTGTAGACGGTCTGTCGCCTGATCCTGTGTCCCAGTGCTGTAGCCGCGGTGGACGTCGCTGTTAAGGTGCGGTTCCTCAGGTGTAATACCCGGATGTAACGATCTTCACGGGGCGTGGTTACTCGTGGTCTTCCACTCTTGGGCCTGTCTGACGTCTGACCTGTCTGACGTAACCGCTGCATCAACCTGGTGATAGTGATGCGTGCGCAGCCCAACCTTCTGGCGACGTCGACGTGTGACGCTCCTTGTTGGACCATTCCAACGGCTCTCTCTCTCTCGATGGCTGTCAAACGTGGCATATCTTGTGTTCGTTTTGTTGCTGTGATATCAACGTGTCTGATCAGCCGTTTTATACAGTTTTTCTGCACGTGCAGAACATGCTAGAGAGGGAAATTTCACTTTCACGAAATTTACGTTTTTCCCCGGAAGTGATCACGTGTTCCCGGTATTTTTTATCGACTATGCTGTGTTTGGGATGTGCAATACGAATTGGCATGTTTTCATACTTGACAATTCACTTAGTAAAAAACAATTTTGAAAATATGTTGGTATCGTTTCTTTTGGACACTAGTTTAGTAACTTAATCGGGGCGAACCGGAAGTTGAACCCACGATCATAGGTTTCTGGTGTTCCCAAGGGACTTGCGGCGCCTTAGACGACTGGGCCACTCGTTCCCCTCGATATATGGAGGAGTTACGGCATGGTGAGTGAGTATTGTTTTACGCCGCCTTGGTCAATATTTCACAAATTTTACGGCCAAATATATGCTGTGGGAATTCGAAACCAGGCCACAGACGTGACGAGCGAAGACTTTTAACAACTAGGCTAGCCCACCCTTTGTGGCATTTTATACTGAACAAAGAAAAGTTAGGGATGATGAATGTTTGGGGATATTCTTATGACATTGCGTGCTCAGTCTTCATAACATACCCCCCAAAATATTCATGATCCCTAACTGTTTGTGTTTAGTATAGGTGTACCACCAACACTGAAAACATCACCAGGAAATAACTTAAACCTGTGACAGACAAGAGGTGAAAATGTAATTATTTGTCGACTGCATTTTGTTGTTAATCCGCACAATTTGATGCTATCAACCCGTGAAGATCCGGGGTAGTATAGATCTTCAGCAACCCATACTTGCCTTAAAAGCCGACTATCCATGGCGTAATAGGCGACTAATGGGATCGGGTGGTCAGACTCGCTGACTTGGCTGATGCATGTCATCGTATCCCAATTACGTGGATCGATGCTCATGATGTCAATCACTTGATTGTCTGACCGTCGTATAGCTGGAATATTGCTGAGTTCGGCGTTAAAAAACAAAGAAACAAACAAACAAAACAATGATATCATTTACAATAGGCTTCAAAATGCCATTATTGCAATTATTTAAACCCCTACCGGTCCTTCTAGGAAGATGGTTTGTCCTGTCGGCGTTACAGTGACGTCGCCAGGAAATCCGACGTCATTCACGAGCAGCACGCCCTTCATCAGAGATATACCAGCTCGCACGAGCACAGCCAGAAACAAGTTCAGATGGATCATATTCCTCGGGCAATGGAGGCGTCTGGAACCCAAAATAGTTCAGTAAAGAAATCCATTGAAAAACATCTGCCACGGAAACGTAGTGGATAGTTGACATATTAACTGAAAATATATTTAGATTAATCTGGAACCCGAGTCCCTAAAAGTAGCTAAACGAAATAGTAAATCCGAAATTTAAGAGGTCACTCTTTCTGCTATACCCATTCCGATTGACGCCACCTACACAATTCCTGGTCAGATATAACTTGCCCGGGGCAGGGTGTAAATATAAGTGTCAAGTAAGTGCATTGAGAGAATCCTGTTCCATTCATGACGATGCTCGGCCAAACCAGATGTGTTATTACCGCGAGGGAGGCCGCACCTTTTTTATTGAACGATTTACGGATTTTTTGCTAACCAATTTGCATAGATAGTCGCAATACAAAATATATTCACCTTTTTCAGAAATAATGACTATGGCGAAGTCAGAAAATGATATATACATGCCAGGCAATATGCCCGTAGGTACCGGAACAATTAACAATATATTTTATGAAATATTGCTTTAAAAAGAAGCAATTTTTTGTCTTTTTTTGATAACGTATTCTAATCCATAACCCCTACACTGGCGAGATAATTATAAATATATTTGGACTATTTTCATCTTATTTTCTGAAACTGGCTTTTGGCTCCGATCGGTCGAATCCGTAAATCGAGAAATGAAAATATTTTCGCGCTGTAGCAGGGATGTGGTCTGAGACCGGCATTGTTAGTGTTGCATCTCAGCCCGTTTGATAAAAAAAGGGAGAAAAACCCAAATTATTGTATGGGGTAAGCTCGTAAAACACACATTATGAGTGTCGGTGTTTTCAAATCTTGGTTCAAAAGCGGGGCGTTGTGTGGAAGTGGAAGTTTATTAGTGGTATGATGTAGAAGTTTACCACTGTGGTGAAAGAATCTGAAACCATCAGCCGATCCTGACACGACAAAGGGACGCAACTCTGCAACGCGTATTGTGAAGCCTTAGCCCCTAAGGCACTAACCCGATCATGCCTTTACCAAATAATATACTATAAGACATGACCTAGTCGATAATATTTCCTCAACCTATGTAGTTGATACTACATTCATTACCAAATGTATTTGCTTATGAGGTTACGGGGGATGCTCACATGAATGGGCATAAGGTGTACAACCCCGGGCCTATTTAAATGAGGATGGGGTGGTTAGAACGTATGACCAATTGTGTAAGCCGGGTCTGTGGTCAGATCCACCTCAACTATAGTATGGCCTTGGTCGGATATAACTTTAACATTTATTTATTTTTTGTTTAACGCCGCACTCAGCAGTGTTCCAGCTATATGACGGTGGTCTGTAGATAATCGAGTCTGGACCAGACAGTCCAGTGATTGACATCATGACTATCGATCTACGCTAGTAGAATACGATGACATGCATCAACCAAGTCATCGAGCCTGACTACCCGATGCCGTTAGTCGCCTCTTGTGACAAGCATGAGAACTCCAAAATGGCAACCAGGCAACATCCGGCTCTTTTCAGAATTCTTCTAATAAACTCCATGGTAGTCCCACGTTACGTAATCTTCCAGTAACGGATTTTTTCCCCTCAATATCTAATTGTCAACTTTTCCACACGCCTTACGAAAAGACCACTTACTTGAAATACACCATTATGGCGACGGCGAGAATCAGGAACGTCAGGGACACAGAGTAGCCAATCGTGTACATGAGTTTCACGCGCGGCACGTGTTCCTGGAATGGTGAGACAAATCTTGTGTAAATGTTGAACAAATTACCATTTCATTCCGGTGAAGTTTTCCCGTCTTACAAACGTATTGCTGATGACCTGATGAATGAAAACATGACAGGCATCTATCATGATGCCAAAAATTGGAAGTTAAACGCAAGTAGGTGAAACGCAATAATAAGTATCTCGTTCAAAATCGCCCTTCCCGTTGGATGAATATTTCTCCATTTTATTTCGTTCGAGTATGTGCTTTTAGGTAACAGGCGACGGTGGTGGTCTAAATTCCTACTATCTCAGCCCATGCTTACAATCATCACTGACAGGTGTGTGTCTTTATGTTTGTTTGTTTGTTGTTTGAACGCCTCACTCGGCAATATTCCAGCATTATGATGGAGGTGTGTAAATAATCGCGTCTGGACCGACTTTGCATGGAGACTATAGATATATTTGACCATGTCGGTCAGATTTTTTATGTAAATGTATTACATAACCTGGTGCAAGTTCAGTGACCCACGTACGTGCGTAAGATCCGGCGACATAGCGTGTTAGTTGATATTTTTAGATAACGCTGGGGATTAAGGTTCTGACCAGAAGGACGTATGATTAGAATAGAAGGCCAAACTGTGGTTGAATATATTAAACAGACAAAGTAGATAGAATTTCTATGCACTTTGGAAACATAGTTATGACAGAGTCGACAGTCTGACCAATGCCACTTGCGTGTACCGTACCGTGATAAGATGGTCCAGAGGTTGTAGCGTCCCCTTGCTGCAGGTGCTGTAGTTGGTCCATGGCTTGCTGCTCCCGTTGTATCCAGACCACGTGCCATCAGCCAGACACTCCTTCGTGGCAAACTCTGGAAACATAATGAGTTGATGTAAGAAATTACACATACAATAAACTACGGTTATAACGAACACGCTTATAACGAACTGACGGATATAACGAACTTATTTTTTTGGTCCCGACTATTTGCTGTAGTTATGCTGTATATATGTTTATAACGAACTACGGTTATAACGAACTAAACTAAGTAGTCCCTTTGAGTTCGTTATAACCGTAGTTTACTGTATAATGATTAATATAATCGTCTATCAACGGCCGGGTAAAAGACAGTATTCACATGTTTGATGGTCCTAAAACTGAGACAAACAAGAAATGGTTACTCTATTGTGATGAATTTGATACTGGTGTAATAATTATGTTTTGGACCTTATGTTTGCAGTATTTCGGCGACTGTTTTCAGTCCAGTAACGTTTTAATAACCTTTGTCAACTTTTGGTCAACTCAAATTTTTAAGTGCATACTTCCTTTGGCCGGCCGTTTGGTTTGTTGTTTATCTCCGCAATCAGCAATATTCCAGCTACTAAGTGTCATGGATATCATGTATATCATGTATATAAGGAAGACCTGAGTATAATAGAGTGAGTGAGTGAGTGAGTATGGTTTTACGCCGCTTTTAGCAATATTCCGGCAATATCACGGCGGGGGACACCAGAAATGGGCTTCACACACTGTACCCATGTCGGGAATCGAACCCGGGTCTTCGACGTGACGGCGAACGCTTTAACCACTAGGCTACCCGACCGCCCGATAACAAAAAGAACTAACGGGATTCTAACATTGATAGGTGTCACCAAAGAAAAATTAGAGGATTTAAATGTGAGTTTCATAGTGCCGTTTTCCGTTTTTACAGTGAATGTTTACATTTACCAAGAACAGTGTGACAGAATCTCGAAATAGTGAGGGTACACGGGTGGCCAGGTCGCCTAAGGCGCCGTCATTCGCTGTGCAGAGTTGCGTCCCTTGTGCAAGCCAGAAACCTATGGTTGTGGGTTCGAATCCCGGTTCGCCCCGATTATGTTTCTAGGTTTGTCAGCACCATACCCGTGATGCTGGGTTTCACCGAAGTGGTAAACGTCTAAGACCTGCATCACTTCGGGTTTTCCTTCTATTAAGCTGACACGCAGCGATATAACTGGAATACTGTTAAAAGCGGCGTTAAACCCAACTCACTCATTCACTTACTCGAAATATTGAATTACTGACAAAACAGATCAAACGACTCATAAGGAAAGTGACCTGCAACGTGCCTACAATCCAGCGTACTGGCTCGTAGATTGACACCTTTATACTCACTGCAGAAATGGTGTAACGTTCTAACATTTTGACTGAGTTGGTGAGGGAGTGTGAATGTGTGAAGCCCATTTCTGATGTCCCTTGTCATGATATTGCTGGTATATTGCTAAACGCGGCGAAAACCATACTCACTCACTCATCTACAAGGATTTACAAATTACTTCGTATCTACTTACCGAGCATATCAACAGTACCGTGTTTCACAGCCGTTAACTAGCTTACCAACAGTGAGATTAGGAAAGGTTCCCTCGCGATTTTATTCTCTTTACATACACGGTCCGATAATTACATTTGAAAGTCATACAGGTGGCCTGTATTGGCAATAGGCCACGCGACGACAGTGATGGATTGTTTTGAGGCAAGCGCTGTTCGGCGCAGAAACCAGTCTGCAGAAGGGTTTAGAAAACACCAGTCTATATGCATGAAGTCAAACAAATCTATTCGATGGCAAACAAATCCACGTGATGGATTTAGGATATATTTATGTGCAGGAAACACAAATCAAGATGGATAAGGAGAAATGTGAGTTGAAATTGGTTTCACGTTCAAGTCACGTTCACGTCACGTTCAAGATTATTAATGGCGCTTAAATGGTGTGCGTGTGCGCGTGCGTAGGCGTGTGTGCGTGTGTGCGTGTGTGCATGCGACTGCTTGTACTGGTCAGAACTAAAAGCGTACAATTTACATATCAGAGCGCTAAAATAATATTTCACGTGTAGAATATTCTAAATTAGCGCTCGAATATGTAAATTTGCTCGCTGTTTGTTGACCCTCGTGACCTGCCGACCAAGTTTCCTCTTGTTCTGCGCATGCCAAGTTTAGAAGGCTGTGGTCTGTGTGTTTTTGTGCTGCCGTTTCCATGTTTTCGGGAACGTGCTGTCAGATTGTTGATGCTGTTTCTTGGTTTTAATTACGTTCTCATCGTTTTCCGTTGTCGACTGCTTGTATATTGTTGTGAAGGAGTGAATATGGTTTTACGCCGCTTTAAGCAATATTCCAGCAATATCACGGCGGGGGACATCAGAAATGGGCTTCGCACATTGTACCCATGTCGGGAATCGAACCCGGGTCTTCGGCGTGACGAACGAACGCCTTAACCACTAGGCTACCCGACCGCCCCTTGTGTATTGTAGACATATGGCAGTTTTTGTTAGAGTCTTTCAGTTTCCTTTGTTAGACCTGGTTCTGGTCAAATCCGACCGCCTCCGTGGTCTTGTGGTAGAGCGTCCGCCCGGAGAGCGGAAGGTCCGGGGTTCGATCCCGGGCCGCGTCATACAAAAAGACGTTAAAAGATTGTACTTGTTGTTACCCTGTCTGGCGCTCGGCATTAAGGGGCTAAAACAAGGACTGGTCGGCTCGGAGTCAGTATACTGTGTCTGAGTGGGGTATTCATGTTAAACTGCGGCATGGTATCTCAGTGAGCTAGCACTATAAATCGGCATCAGTCCGGACTAGTACAAGCAGCCACACACACACACACACACGTGCATGCACGTCGCTATATAAGTGCAATAATCTTGGACGCGACGTTAAACCCAATTTCACCTCACCTCTGGTCAAATCCAATTTTCAGGTATATATACTTTCTTTTACCCGACCGTTCATTTGTATTTTCGTTTGCAATACTGTCGCAAAACTTACCTCCTTGATCGAAGCCGTTGATATACGACGGGCAGGGTTGGTGAATGACTTCGCCGGCGGGGGCGTCGTCCCAGCAGGTTACGTTGTCCCATGTTCTGTTGCAGTAGAGACCTTAACAGGAGCAGACATAATATTAACTACATCAGTACAGAAATATGATGGTGATGGTACTGTTTCTTCTGCCACGTACTATCATAAGTACAGTTGAGGAAATAATGGCATAACAAGGTCAGACTGACATAAGGGATCGAATATGTCTTTTGTATGTAAGGCCGTTACTACGGACACAGGTGGCCGCGGGAACTAACTCAGGTCGACAAGTTTGGTGTGACAACTAACTCAGGTCGACAAGGTTGGTGTGACAACTAACTCAGGTCGACAAGGTTGGTGTGACAACTAACTCGGGTCGACAAGGTTGATGTGACAGCTAACTCAGGTCGACAAGTTTGGTGTGACAACTAACTCGGGTCTACAAGGTTGGTGTGACAGCTAACTCAGGTCGACAAGTTTGGTGTGACAACTAACTCAGGTCGACAAGGTTGGTGTGACAACTAACTCAGGTCGACAAGTTTGGTCTGACAACTAACCGATAAGGTTGGTGTGACAACTAACTCAGGTCGACAAGGTTGGTGTGACAACTAACTCAGGTCGACAAGGTTTGTGTGACAACTAACTCAGGTCGACAAGGTTTGTGTGACAACTAACTCAGGTCGACAAGGTTTGTGTGACAACTAACTCAGGTCGACAAGGTTTGTGTGACAACTAACTCAGGTCGACAAGGATAGTGTAACAACTAACCTAGGTCGACAAGGTTGGTGTGACAACTAACTCAGGTCGACAAGGATAGTGTGACAACTAACTCAGGTCGACAAGGTTGGTGTGACAACTAACTCGGGTCGACAAGGTTGATGTGACAGCTAACTCAGGTCGACAAGTTTGGTGTGACAACTAACTCAGGTCGACAAGGTTGGTGTGACAACTAGCTCAGGTCGACAAGTTTGGTCTGACAACTAACCGATAAGGTTGTTGTGACAACTGACTCAGGTCGACAAGGTTGGTGTGACAACTAACTCAGGTCGACAAGGTTGGTGTGACAACTAACTCAGGTCGACAAGGATAGTGTGACAACTAACTCAGGTCGACAAGGTTTGTGTGACAACTAACTCAGGTCGACAAGGTTGGTGTGACAACTAACTCAGGTCGACAAGGTTGGTGTGACAACTAACTCAGGTCGACAAGGTTTGTGTGACAACTAACTCAGGTCGACAAGGATAGTGTAACAACTAACCTAGGTCGACAAGGTTGTTGTGACAACTAACTCGGGTCGACAAGGTTGATGTGACAGCTAACTCAGGTCGACAAGTTTGGTGTGACAACTAACTCGGGTCGACAAGGTTGGTGTGACAGCTGACTCAGGTCGACAAGTTTGGTGTGACAACTAACTCAGGTCGACAAGTTTGGTGTGACAACTAACTCAGGTCGACAAGGTTGGTGTGACAACTAGCTCAGGTCGACAAGGTTGGTGTGACAACTAACTCAGGTCGACAAGGTTGGTGTGACAAGTAACCCAGGTCGACAATGTTGGTGTGAGTGATATAATGAGCATTGTGGCACAATAACACACGCACCCAGGACATCTATAGTCGACTCTTATGGGAATCTTAGCATACATGAACACGTCCTGGTCTCACGTAAACTCCTTCTCAGATCTAACTGGTGCATCTGGGCCAATACAAATCTCGAAGATGCCTAGTTCCGAGTGCACTACGGGGATTAGAACACCATTTATTACACTTTACACCTTGTTTTTCGAAGACGGTTAACTCGAACCCTGCATTTCTACAAGTATCCATACGGGTCTGAGTCTTGTTGTTTTGAAACAATGAACCTCTTTTGTCAAGAAGGCGAGTAAATCTAACAGGTGCTTATCTTGAAGTCATCACACGGGTCCGAGTACATACACACATCAGTGTCGTTACAATGAACCAACTTTATCACGAGATCGATAAGCTCGAACATGTGGTTTTCTTGACCTGATCACGCGGATCCGAGTGAATACGTCCACTTGCTTCAATACAATCTTGAGATGGGGTTGTGTGCACTTTTCTCTCACTCCAACCAGCTGAATGTACACTTATGGCTAAAGGCAAGGCGGTTTTCATTTTTCAAATCTTTGTTGCGAATCCGCCGGGTCGATGTCCAAATGAAATATGACAAATTAGTATATAATGAAAAGCTCTTTCTATTTATTCCGCCTCCCAGAAGTAAAGAAAATGTTAAAAATGCTTATTTAATGTATCTATGAATATAAATAAATAATTTAAAAAACTATAACTAAAACCTGTAGGAAGTTAATCTTAAAAAAATCAAAACACGACGAATTATGACGAATGACCAGAGGAAATAAAAGTTATTAAAACCAATATATTTATTTTATCTGCCCTACTGAATGGAACTTTTGTGCCAAACATCCGTAAGCCCCCCAAGCAGTCAAGACGAAGTAAGGAACAACAGGTACATCAAATATTCAAGGAACAGAGCTTGGCCAACACAGGGATGAGTTTGTGCCAAGAGGGTAATCGATGGAGACACCGAGCAGTGTTCCGTTCCATTATGCGAATTCGTGTGACTATCGCGGTCTATGGAAGACAGGAAACCTATTTGTCTTCATAAGTTTTGACATGAAGATATAACTAAATACTCTTTGCATGAGGCACTGGAGTCTATCCTCTAGACAATAACTCCTGCGAAATGAAAACGTCTGCGAATACCACCACACAAAGACACACTTCTGTCTATCACACTTGAAGCCTGTTTTCAACAATATTAAAAAAAACCCAGCTGGAATAATAAACTCATAGATATATTGTAGATAAAGCCCCCGTATAAACTTGATAGTTCCGTTGTGAAACTAGTCATTTCTTCTTCGCCGATATGACTACGATGGCCAACTGTACACTGCTTATGTTGTTCTTAGAGTGAGTGACTGAGTGAGTATGGTTTTACGACGCTTTTAGCAATATTCCAGCAATATCACGGCGAGGGACACCACAAATGGGCTTCACACATTGTACCCATGTGGGGAATCGAACCCGGGTCTTCAGCGTGATTGTTCTTAGAAGGAAAATACTAAAGTTATTACATCGTTGAAACATATAGCTTATCTAAATACGTTTTAGAAAGTTAACAGTTGTTATGAAAGTGTGATCTCTGCAAACGTTTTAAATAATTTTTTATTAGAATGTACAGTCAACCCCGTTATCCCGGACCTAGGGGGCCATGTTTTAACTTCGAGATATCCGATCATTCGAGATAACGAGCCATGAACATCCAGATCAACAGTATTACAGATACAAAGCAATACGATTGCATATACAGGAATTATGAACACGACATGTATATTTGATAACAAATTGAAAAAAAATGTATTTCGCCGGCAATGATTAATAGAAATGTGACAAATTATGTACAGTGTACAAGTACCTTAAAAGACATAGTCACTACATAGTCTGACCACTTATATAAAAACAAGGGTGTTCAACAAATCGGATACAATGTTATTGGTAAAAGAAGATGGAGGTGAGGTCAAATGGGGGTTAACGTCGCGTCCAACATATTTGAATATATAGCGACGTGTGTGTGTGTGTGTGTGTGTGTGTGTGTGTGTTCGTGTGTATGTGTGTGTGTGTGTGTGGTTGCTTGTACTAGTCCGGACTGATGCCGATTTATTATGCTAACCCACTGAGATACCATGCCGCAGTTTAACATGCATACCCCACTCAGACACAGTATACTACCTCTAAGTGACAGACGGACGAGGTCATCTGGAATCACTGCATCTGGTCAGAGTGTTCTCATATTTGAGGGTTTACACGTATTGAAAGGACATCAACCACATGAAGAAGCGTGGACACACTTTTATCTTCACATCCTTTGAACTATAACTGCGGCAATGTAACTTCTGAAGACAAGGACCAATACCAATATTTCAGGAATTCCCTTCTATTCTAATCCGTTGATTATTATTATTATTATTATTATTATTATTATTATTATAATACACATGCATCTTCCATGACGGTGAGCGTGAAGCCCATTTCTGGTGTCCCCTGCCGTAAAAAATTGCTAAAAGCGGCTTAAAACCACATTCACTCACTCACTCACTCTATGACGGTGATCACAACACCACCCCTCTGAGGAAGAGCCTGTTCTCGCCATGACAATGCGTCATGCCAATCCGAAAGGACATCCCTGAAGGGACATCAGTTAAACGGTGTTCCTTAACCCAAGTGTTATATCACCGTCGGGACTCTTTAAATAAAATGAGGGGTAAAAGAAAATATATCAATTTTGTCTATATAACCATCACTTATTTTTTATAAAGTAATCTGTGTCTGGGTATTTTTTGCCTTATTTAAAAGTTTTCAATCAAACCATGTAGAAGTTATTTTTCAGTGCCGACTAAGCGCATGTACAGTGCATGTTCTGGATAAGATTTCAATTGAAAATAACCGCCTCCGTGGTCTAGTGGTAGAGCGTCCGCCCGGAGAGCGGTAGGTCCGGGGTTCGATCCCCGGCCGCGTCATACCAGGCGAGAACAGGCTCAGACGTTTAAAGATGGTACTTGTTGTTACCCTGTCTGACGCTCGGCATTAAGGGGTTAAAGCAAGGACTGGTCGGCTCGGAGTCAGTATACTGTGTCTGAGTGGGGTATTCATGTTAAACTGCGGCATGGTATCTCAGTGGGCTAGCCCTATAAATCGGCATCAGTCCGGTCTAGTACAAGCAGCCACACACACACACACACACGTGCATGCACGTCGCTATATAAGTGCAATAATCTTGGACGCGACGTTAAACCCAATTTCACCTCACCTCAATTGAAAATAAAACATGTGATAAAATCAACTGACAGCTATAGTTTCTTTTGCCCCCGAGCTCAGTTCGTTATATCTGTTTGTTTACTTGTCCTGTGTTCGTTATAAACAATGGTGAGGTTATGCAAAGACTATTAGTAACACTGCTTCACTAGGCAGATGTTTCTTTCGTTCTGGGTTCTTCTTACCCGTGGTCTGTTCTAGGTAAAATAAACAAGTGAAGATCCGGGTTAG